CCCCAGCAGACAAAGGCCGGCAGGGCCTGGCCAGAGGGAGGCCCCATCCAGGCCGTGACCCCCAACCCCGGCTACCTTGCCGGTGCTCGCCCCTGCGGCCTTTCAGGAGAAAAGAAACCACGGAAGAAAAAAAAAAATAAACTTGTGAAAGTTTAAACTGCACGGAACAAAGAAAGCCAGACGTTCCCACCGAAACTTCCTGAGAACCACAGGTCGGGGGGACTGTCTTTCTCCCTTTTCTATAAATCTCCATCCCTGACTGAGTTCATAGGGCCTGCGACACCCAGACACTCGAGCTCCGCCGTCCGGGGCCGGCGGGACCCTGGTCGGCCCCGAAAATAAATATTTCACATAAAAGGTCCATTGTCTTCGCTCAGAGACAATTGTTGCGTTTTCTTCCTCTTTGGCCCCGTAACATCAGAAAGCACAGCCGGTGCCTTTTAGGGTTCTCTCTTGTTCCAACGAGATGTTCCGAGGGAGGCGATCTCACCGGGTCTTCCTGAACGATCGTCGAAGAGATAAATCCCCCCCNCTGGTCGCCCGGGAGATAACAGCCTCCACCCCAAGGCCTGCAGGCCAGCGTGGGGCTCAGGGCACGGCACAGCGGCCAGGCCCCAGTCAGGGCCTTCTCGGATGGGACTGGGTGCCCGCAGCTCTGGCAGCGTCTCCTCGGTGCCAGGGGCGGAACCTCCCCGCACAAGCCCTTCTCCTCCTTGCAGGGCAGGGAGGGCTCCACAGAGGCCATGCGTAGACCCCGACATATTCGGAACACACGTGTGTGTCCCTGCAGGTCCGAACCTGCATGTCGGGCGCTGGCGTGGAGCCCAGGCAAGTCTGGGTGACGGGCTGTGCAACCGGCATGCAATTCACTGCAGCTCCTCTTACCATGAAGGCACATGAAGACTGCAGCCCCGGCACCGTCGTTTTATTATAATTTAAAATGTAATTATAACGGGCTGATTTGAATGTAAATATGGCCCTTACCCACAAGAAAGGCCAGTCTAGGCTGAAGAGCCCCAAATCAGCAGGTAAATATTTCAGCTGAACGCTCTCCCTGCCATCTGAAATCCCAGAATTACGAGGGGCGGTTCACAGAGAAGCCCGGCATCAGAGCCCGGCAGCGAGCGTCAGAGGCGACGTTCCTGCGTTAATCTTAAGGGGGAAATCTACGGCTCCTTAAAAAAAAAATTTTTTAAATTGGCCTTTTTACTTGGTGCATCCCAGGCACACATTTTCTGACCACAACTACCCCTCTCATTTGACGATAAGAGCCGTTGCTTCTGTGGGTCAGATCTCTGTTCAGAAAGCCTCCCGGCCGCTGATTAAACGGAGCGGGAAGGGGGGGGGGTCCTGCCGCTCGATCCCACCATCCACGCGGGGTTTCTGAGCTGTCCCAAAAGGCAGAAAGAAAGGCAGGCTCCTGAATCCCAACTGAAACAAGTTTCCAACCAAAATTTCACAAGACGACTAGATAGAATTTTACTTTTGAAACCCCCCCCCCACCAAAAAAAAAAGGTGAATAAAAGCTTATGTTTCCGGGTTCCTCTGCCCCGTGTCATGAGATTTCAGTCTTGTTCCTTTCAATTTTACCCATCTTATCCGTGGTCTCAGAGGCTGTTGTGCTCCCCCCCCCCCAGATAAAAGACTGTTCTCTTCACAGTATTTGGGGGTGGGGGTCAATGCCAAAGGTTAAAGAGACCACAGCCTAGAGGTTCCAGGATTTCTTTTTTTTAAAAAAACGATGCAGCAGCAGTTTTAAAAAACAAAACCTCATTTTTGAAGCTAAATATTATCATTTGCCAACAAAAATCTTTTTGGGCAAGAAAGAATCTTGGCAGGGAGGTGACTCTCATCACCCGTCCCATAAGGGATGCTTTCTCTCCTGTCTCCCCCCCC